ATCCACCTTCTGAAGACACCCAAGTGTTTACTGTCATGGTTTCCCAGTGTTATTTCTTAATACTTGAGTGTTGATGCATTTTGCACTCTCCCCATTTCGGCTCATAAGGATTTTGCAGGCTTTAAAGAGGAAGAGATGCAGAAAACATTTGAATTTGTATCTTGTATGCCTACGTAATTCAAAGTGACTTAGTCCATTGAACTGTGTTTATTAGCTGGCTGGTAAAGGTAGCATTAATTATGTTAAATTTGTTCAATTACTAAACGTCTCAGGCAATAGGACAAATGACTGTTGTCGTTTTTATTGTGTGGCATACCTGGAGCTATAGTCCAAATGTTTTACTCAACAAAATCATGGCAGAGTAACTGATCAATTTGGTTAAATTAAATGAAGACACAAGTGAATACAGAAAAAACTCATTCAGATAAATAGACCCATCACAGCAAGAATTTGCCTGAAAGATAAGACAAGCTTGTAAGACCAAAGCTAAGTCTAAGAAAATCTAAGTGGAAAAAAAATTGCAAGTTCAGATCCAATGGTGAGTGATGTGGTACAACTCGAGGACTTAGCTACTTGCTTCATGAATTTGTCACAAGTGAATACTAATAAAGTGGGAGGTTTCGCTAAATGAGGAGGTAAATAAGATTTCAGTTTATCAGAAGTGTATGTATTGTGTGACCATACTAAGCTCCTGGATGTAAGTAAAGTTGCTAGCTATTTTACAACTTTTTATTATTTTATTGTGTTATGTAAAGTACATTTTGGGGATAAATGTTTTTCAGCACATCAATGTCTTTAAATTAAATTCAGGTTGTATCGGGCATATTTTACAACTTTTTTTTTTTTTTTTGAGACAGTGTCTTGCTCTGTCACCCAAGTTGGAGTGCAGTGGTACAATCTTGGCTCACTGCAACCTCCGCCTCCCAGGTGCAAGCAATTCTCTGCCTCAGCCTTCCAAATAGCTGGGATTACAGCTGTCCGCCATCATGCCCCGCTAATTTTTTTGTATTTTTAATAAAGATGGGCTTTCACCATGTTGTCCAGGCTGGTCCTGACTTGTGATCCACTTGCCTTGGCCTCCCAAAGCGCTGGGATTACAGGCGTGAGCCACAGTGTCCAGCCAACTTCTTTATTTTTAAATAACATTTAGGATGTGTTTGCCCCTATTTTGTTTGTTCTCTATCTTACCTTATCAAACTCTTTAAGGTTTTTTTTTTTTTTTTTTTTTCACTCTTTAAGGTTTAATTGAATATACTCACGTTAAGTGCAATGACACTAGTTTTATTCTAAATCCCACATGTACATAATGCTTTGAGGCCTTGATTCTTACGTGTTCATTAAGCATAATGAGCTTGTCACCTATATCAGCAATAAAGAATTTGACCCTATGTTAGGGAAATCTAAGGTGCAATTATTAAGGCCATATCTACTCTTCATCACTCCTGGAGGCTGAAGCTCCACGCTTCAGTTCGTTCTGTTAGGTGTCAGCCACAGAGATGCTCCAGAAGCACTCTAGGCTAACCACAAGCCCCACCGGAGTCCAAGGAAGTTTAATTGGTCTATTGCAGGGTTCATGTTTATACCATAATTATAGTTTGGTTTGTCACATGAATCATCGCTCAGCTTGAAATAATTAAGTTTATCACCCATCTGACAGTTCATAAAAAGCCTAGTTTAATTATTTCAGATGAGAATTATACACAGAAACAAAAGCCAGAGAGCAAGCAGTCCCTTGGGACTTTTGTCCCCCAGAGTGATCATCTCCCTAAAATCATTTGAGGCTTTTTGCTCTAGAGGTCCTTGAGGGAGATAAGAAATAACACAATTAACTTTTCTCATCAGTAGAAGCTCTGGCATCATGAGTGATAAGACGATAGGCAATAAGTAGTTGAATACATAGCAGGTTTTCTTAACAGAAATTAATTACATCAAAACATGCCAGAGGATTTATATGTTTACCTATACTGGGTAATAACTTACATAGATCTTAACTATTCCTATCTTCAGGCCCCCTTCGGATAAATTAACTAGGTGCTCTCTAAAGAATATTGTCTTTTCACACACACATTTTCAACTTTGAGACAAAATGGAATTTCAAATATATCTCAGAAAGAGAGGTAGTTTGTTGGAGACAATTTCCCTCACTTGTTCTTTCTCCAGCTACACTTCAATAACTTGGAGTCAAGACTAATTTGTGAAGGCATCTTAAGCAGAAAGTTAGCATGAATTGCTGTTTATTAAGACAAAAGTAATTTTCAGTTAGCATCCTTTTCCTGAAACCCAGGTCTATCAAATATGTTACACTCCCTCTTGTTCATTATTAAAAGAGCATTTGAGCATGTGTATTTACAGACATTACTATAGTCAGCCCATTTTGATTTAAATAGTTCCTGAGCCATAGGTAGTTAATACAGCCATGTCCTGGATCACAACTCACTAAAAAAGGCTACACAATTGAAAAGTATTTGACTCTGTAAAAAAGGACTTGACCTGTGTTTATTGAACACAAGTATTCTTTTTTAAAAACATATTTAAAACCATTTATGTCTGTTGCCCCTCTATAAACAGCAAGATTGCTAGTTTGCTACTATTTTTTCCTTAATACTGAGTTTTCACTCGTTTTGCCAGGCTACCAGCAAATATTTTTAAGTAGTTTTCTTTATATTTGGAAATCACTGTTTCTACTGGTTTTTCACCTATGTTGGTTTACTTCATTTATTTTAGAGACAGGGTCTTGTTCTGTCACCCAGGCTAGCGTGCAGTGGTGTGATCATAGCTCACCACAGCTTCAAACTCCTGGTCTCAAGTGATCCTCCAACCTCAGCCTCCCGAGCAGATGGGACTGCAGGCACTCAATACCATGCCTGGCTAATTTTTAAACTTGTTTTTATTTTTGTAGAGACGGGAGACTCAGTCTTGCCCAGGCTGGTCTCAAACTCCTGGGCTCAAGCTATCCTCCCACTTTGGCTTCCCAAAGTGTTGGGATTACAGGTGTGAGCCACTATGACTGGCCTTGGCTTACTTTTAAACTCAGAGACTTTCTCAGAAACACTATAATCACCAAAAAATTTTAAAAATACAGTAGAGGTGATCTTCTAAAGCAGGAATTTATATTAAGCTTATTTCAGGTGGCAGATAAATCAGATTTTACTAATGATGTTTGAGACTAACAGTATTTGTTCAGTCAGTTTGAAACATAAAGTATCCATACATAATCAGATCCATCACCTATCCAGATATGACTACACATTCATACTCTTCTGCTGTGCAGAAGCCAATTATCCAAAACCATGCCAGTGAATTTATGTGCTCAGTCTAGGAAGTGATTTCCATAGTTCGTAACCAACCTGTCAGGTATTTGGGTTGAAAATCATATCATACTGCCATAGACACACTGGCTAGAAATAAATAAAAAATTATTTGCCCTTAATTAACATGCCAGGTTAGAGCCAACTTTAATTATTTACACTTTCCTCTCTCAGTGAGTGCTCTAGTTGCCACTTCATCCAACTTTCAAAAATATCTCAGAGAGGATTTGAGATTTCTATTTTGCCAGAGAGACATACTTGGTCAGATTCAACATTTGTCAACTCTCTTTCATTAAGGGAATTTGCTAGGCGCTTTTCCTTGCAATTTCTATGTCAAGTATCTACTGCTTCTGTAAACTACTTCACTTAACTGAAATTTATAATGAATTGTTCCTGCCATTTGGAATGTGGCAGTTTTGCAATAATCCATTTGTAAATGGTTGTTTCCAATGTTGCTGACGATATCTGTGGAGCTTGTTGTACAACCTTTACATAACCAGGTATGTAAAGCAGTTGAGTGAACTGTTCTTTGAAATTTTATTTTTAAATTTTCTTATGAATATTATAAAACTTAGAAGTATGTTTGATTATCTAATTTTTATTTTATTGTATTTGACTATGTCATTCTAGTTAAAATAAAAGCACTTTGGTGGAAAGATAATTTCTATGCATTTATTTAATTATGTGTCATAGCTCCTGAAAAAGTTTGCCATTTTTTAAAGTACTATTTTAGGGAGCTATAACAGAGACCTTTATTTTCAAAAAAAGGAAAAGACCATTCTTGCAGTCTATGTAAATAGCACTGATCTATGTGGCAAAGTTGGAATCTTTCTTCTTAAGCAAAACTCATGCTGGAAGCATAAAACTAATGCTGTAAGCAGTTTTAAAGAAATCCAAATACAGATTACATAATGATTGATTTAACCAAGCAACTAGGACTAGAATTTTAAAATGTATAAAAGTATACATAGAAAAAAATATAAAAAATTATATTAGGGCTCACTTCCCTTTGACTTGGCAGAATTTAGTTCCATAAACTAACTAAAGATACTGATGATCTTGAGCTGCACCCCAGCACAAGTTACTCATAGGCTCTGTGATATAAAATATATTAAGTCTGCTGGATAGTTAAGTAGATGTCAATGAAACAGCAAGCCAATAAGATTACATAAATAATAAAGTGCTTAAGTGGTCAGGAAATACTTAAGTATACAGTGCTTTAGCTGAGCTGCCTTTATAAAATTTTTAAGAAATGGTGAAACATAACTCATGTTTTCAATAAAATTCTGAGTAGGAGGGAACTAACAAACCATTGAAATTAAGGCAGTGGTTCTTAACCTAGAAATAAAGCAAGGCTAGACTTAAAGGAGTCCATGAAATCTCTGAAATACTATACAAAAATATAGATGCATATGTACCTGTGCATCTTTCTTTCTAGGGAATTAACATTTCAAAAAGGTCCATGAAGCTCTCCCCATACACACACACACACACACACACACACACACACACACACACCTGTCATAGGGTAACATGCTCTGTGGAACAGCTTTTCACTCTATGTAGAAAAAACACTAATATTATAAACATACACCTATAGAACCAGTAATTAAATAATGTTTAATGTATCTAAATAAGTTCAGTAACTTATTGTCAATGAACATGATTATTTATAAGAAAACATGCAAGAGATTAAGAAACCATATTTATTTCTTCTTTGGTACAACCAGAGATGTTACCTCAAACCTTTAAAATAAATAATCTCATCAATAACATTTACGAATGCCAGAGTATTAAAATTCTTTCCTTGCTTTCATATAGAAGCGCTCAAAATATTAACAGGTTTGGGGTACAGTACATACAGTTCAGGCTGAAGAAGAAAACCAATTTGTGACGTAAGGAAATCATTTCGGGCAATGTAGCCCTTTCTTATCACTCCAGAGACAGCACATTGATGGGATTTTAAGCACCAATTCCATTGAATGTAGTGGGGTTTCTTCATAACTAGTGTAGTAATCCTCTACATAACTGAAACAATAATCTGAGAACAACATCTAAATGAAAATAACTACTGCAACTGAGGTAAACCAAACAGTTGTTTTTGTTTATTGGCACAGTGGCCCACGATAAGACACATAGGTATAGCACACTAAAGCTCAAGATCCTGGGAAGAGGAGTATAAATTTATTCTAGGGAGGTGTTTGGTTTTCTTTTTCTTTCTTCTTTTTTTTAACTGATGACTGCTGTCTTCCTTCCCTCCAAGGAAAGGAAAGAGAACTTATTGAATAGCACCTTTCTTTTAAATCTGATTGTCAAGTAGGACTTCTGTAATCATGCTGAAGGTAATACATCGTCATCTTTGCCCCAGCTTTGGGTGGTATTTCTCCCCCAAGCTCCTTCACCAGGTGTGATTCATGCAGAGAGCCATGCAGCACTAAGCCTTTCACTGGTCAGGCCCTTTGCTAAATGCTCGCTGACCAGCCTGCATGGTGCAGGAGGCTGGCTCACAGAAACCAGGAAGCCCAGGAGGTCCTGGGGGTCCAGGCACGCCAGGAATTCCTGCCACCCCGGGGGGGCCTCGCTCACCATCCTGGCCATTTCTTCCATAGCTGGCAGGGCCTGGGTCACCTGAAACACAGAGAAGATTGCACATGTGAAGAGGAGAATCCTCATTGATGCCAACTGGCAGAAGACCAGAGCACAGCTCAGCAGTGCTCAGGTAAGAGGTTTAACAAATGCTTTTGGAAATAATGCATAATGACTGTTGATGATTAGTGATGAAGATGATGATGATGATGATAAGATCCCTTCCTTGGACTTGGATTTTCATGGAAATTAAAAGTAGAAGGAGACCTCGGGTGTCTCTAAACACATCTCCATCAGTAGAGCTGCACTGTGCATGGCGGCCTCCAGCCACAGGTGTCTATTGAGCACTGAAATGTGACAAGGCCAGATGGAGATGAACTAAGTATCAAACATACCTAGATTTTAAAGACTTCATATGAAAAAAATGTAAAATAGTTCATTAATATTTGTGTCTATTACATGATGAAATGATCTTTTGCACACAGTGGGTTAAGTAAACTGTATTATTAAAATTAATGTCACTTATTTTTACCTTTTTCATGTGGCTACTTAATTTAAAATCATACATGCAACTCACACTTGTGGCTCACATTATATTTCTTTTGAATGCAATAGCAGTGTTCCTTACTTCTAATAGTTGAGCAACATCTGGGCAGGGAAAAGTATAGTTCAGTGGTTAAAAAAGCAGGTTTTGGAGACAAATAGCTTTACATTCTAGCCCTGCCATTTATGAATAATGTGACATTAGCAAGTCATTAACCTCTCAGTTTCTTCATCTACAAGATGGGATAATGTCTTCTTAATAATTAAATTCAGACCGGGTGCAGTGGCTCACACCCGTAATCTCAGCACTTTGGGAGGCTGGGGTGGGTGCATCAGCTGAGGTGGGTAGATCACCTGAGATCAGGAGTTTGAGACCTGCCTGGCCAAAATGGTGAAACCCAATCTCTACTAAAAATACAAAAAAGTTAGCTAGGCATGGTGGTGGGCACCTGTAGTCCCATCTACTCAGGAGGCTGAGGCAGGAGAATCACTTGAACCCAGGAGGTGGAGGTTGCAGTGAGCCAAGATTGTGCCGCTGCACTCCAATCTGGACAACAAAGCAAGACTCCATCTTAAACATAATAATATTATAATAATAATAAAATTCTACAGTTGAAAGCATCTGATAAGTAGGAGCTATTATTATAATTATTAAGTTATTACTGATTAGTGTCTTTTAGAAGGCTGTGCCATTCACCCTACAAAATTTCATATTTTTGTCACGAAGGGCTTTCCCCAACATGAACTTCGCCATTACAGGTTCTTTGGGGGCTTTTCTTAACTTGTCTTCTTTTTGTCATGTTCAAGGGTTTTATGTTGCCTTCAATGGGGCACATTCTCTGAGGCACAGCACCCCATAACAAAGAGGAACGTCTGCTAAATGCTTACCCCAATGCACCAGCAGCACTTTCACACAATTATTATAAAAGTGGTGATGAGAATTCAGTGTAAAACAAATTGTGTATGCCAATATAATATATGATAGATCCTCATTCCATCTCAGCCATCTTAACTTGGCCTTTCTGCCAAAAAGCTGGAAGCCAAATCTACATGTTCAATTACATATTTGCTTATAGTTGGTTACTTTCCTTTTTTCTCTGTGGTTTTTACTTTTCTTTTTCTATTTTAGTAGTCTTATTACATGTCTTTTGTGGGTGTTACTATAGTAATATGATCTTATTCAGTGGTCTTATTACATATATTTCACATACTTTTAGAAGGATAGATTAGAGATCCCATTTTACGTAAAATCTCATTCTTCCTCTGGTGCATACAATTCAATCCACACAAAGCAATGTCATAGGGCGATATATTAATAAGCTTTAAGGGAGGATAATTATCTTTGAATTTATCCATCTTGAAGCTATAGATAAGAGGAGATATAAGTAATTTCCCCTAATTTATTCCATACACTTTCGATTATACCTAGTTAGTATGAAGGAAATCATTATGTGTTTTCTTCTAATGAGGCCCCTGAGAAAGCTTCTCCCTAATCCACAGCATCTATAGATAAGGCTGTAGCAGAACTATGTCTTTAGCAGTAACGTTAAGATCCTTGACACCAGATGCAGTTAAAGGTGAAGGTGATTTTTTTAAGGTTTAGAAGATGAGCCAGATCTAAATCTGATTTTCAGTGCACCTTATCAGTAGGAATGTCCCCACTGAGACATACCAGTTGTGCCTTAAAATCAAATCAAGTTTAGGAGGAGGAAATGCCCACAGAAGAGGTAGAAAACCAAATAACCACAGGGGCTGGGCTGGTCATTTAGATCAGGGGTGGGCAAACATCTGCTCATGAGCTAAATCCTGTTTTTATAAATAGTTTTATTAGAACACAACCATGGTCATTTGTTTACATACTATCTGTGGCTACTTTGGCACTACCAGGACAGAGTTGAGCAGCTGCAACATGGTGCTTGCAGCCCAAGAATCTGATCCTTCACAAATAAAGTTTGCTGATCCCTGATGTTATAAAGAAATGAGCCTGGATTAAGAAATTCCCTCACTGTTTTCATGAGCTGAAAATGTAAAGTGCAAATGCAATGAAATATATTTGCACTAATACTTGGCTACTAATGTTCCACATAAGTGTGGGCAGACAAAAGGGAGGAGTGAGGCCTGTGATGAGCTGGAAAGTGGATGCAGGCAGCAGCTCTTCTCCAGCTAACAGCTGCCATCGGGGAATACAGGCCAGTGTTGCCAGAACAGATCATTTTCAAGAGAAGCCAGGAAGCTGAGTTTTAAAACAAATAGCTCTTAATGTTTAAATGTTACCAACTAATTCAAAATTTTTTCAACATTTGTAGAGCCAGCAAAAAATCTTAAGTTTAAGAGAATTTATTCCCTAATACACAAACAATATTAAAAAGCAGAAGGATAACCTTTTAGATTTTCACATTTAGTTCCCCATATTAACACGCTCCAGGAGAAGTTTTTCTTTTTCTTTTTTACCTTGCTGAGTTCATTCCAAATTGCTGCTTATCCTCTGAGGGAAGAGTTGATGAAGCCATCCTGTCTACCTTTGATTTATTTTATGAAACGACATCTCATCCAATTCTGCCTTTGGCAAATGCAGCAATTTATCCTTTGGAGCTTTGGATGATGTCATCATCATCATCATCATCACCAACACTTAATGAGAATGCTTTCTCTTTTCCATTTTTCCATGTGCCATACACTATGCTCATTATTAAGCCCATTTTTCTCGTGTATAAACTGAGAGTTAGGAAGGTCAAATAATTGTTGACAGTCATACAGCTAGAAAGTGTTGAGAGATGAGGACCCTTAATCACCGCACTAATCTAACTGTATTTTCCTACCTATTGATTTTTTTTTTAACTCTGTGGAAGAATTTGGGGGTTGTGGCAGGGTGTGTGTGTGTGTGTGTGTTCATTTTTTTTAATGGGCCTGAGTTGACCAGGAAGTAGACAGAGGTACAAAAACAAAGAGCAGTATTGATTTTTGCAGAGCTCTAATGATCACAAGAAACTAAGATGTTTTTCTGAGGTTTTGCCCTGTAGAAATATCAAAGGGAAAAAAAGAAACAGCCTTAACGCAGCAGATTGTCAGGCTCTGGAGGGCCCTGACCCGGGACTTTTGCTCTCATGGACTTAGTTCTAAACTATGTAGAAGCCTCAGTTGGGTGACACTAAGTCCATGTCCACAGCACCCAAAAAGTGAAGCTGACTCATAATAACCGTTCACAAAATGTGCATAAACAGCTAGCCCAACACCTGCGTTAATGAATATCTATCTACTACTTTGTAACTCTTCAGAAAGAGAAAACATAGGTCTAAAATGTCATTTTGCTCTGTCTGCCTCGTGTGTGTTACTTACACTAACTGCCTAATGATTACATGGATTTCTGAAATGTCATGGACCTATAAAAATGTTGAATGTTCCCAATACAAAGAAATGATACATGTTTGAGATGATGGATATACTAATTAACCTAATCTGGTAATTATATAATATTTCTATTTAAACATCACTATGTATACCATAAATACGTATAGTTATTATATGTCAATTAAAAGAGAAACATTTAAAAATGTTATTGCCAAACATTTCATGTTTTTAAGAAACGGGTATCTATGTCATTCTCTGTAAAACCACTAGAGAGCAGTCATGTTACACTGATGGAAGCCAATCCTGGCTGGACCATTCTGAAGGAGGCAGCCCCTTACCTAATACATGCTATGGAATGAAAGGGGCTGTGTACATAGGCAGAAAAAAAAAAAAGTGAACAATTTTTACATTAAATGGGATATTTCATAATTAACCCACTGGTTTATAGACTTTTTGTATGTGCCAGGACTTTCTTACATTTCCTGAGCTTAAGGTTGAGGTATTTGACAAAGCAGTATGCTTAAGGAATTGTAAATTGGTTTATGTAAGGCCCAGCAACCAAATACAACAGCTGCAGCAATGGAAATGAAATAATTAGGTACTGCAAAACTTAGGCCAGAACTGAACGTGTGCACGTGTATTTTCCCACTCAATAGTCTCAAGCAAAGCTCACCTTTCCGCCGACTTTGCACAAGAAAACAGAATAGTTTTACAACCTAGTATAATCTAGCACAAAGCTAGCTATAACTTCAATGTCCAAGAGGCAAAAAGCATCTCAGCTCACAAGTCACCTCCCTGGTGTTCACATACAAATGATTTATTTTTTGGCCTACTAAGTGCACAAAGAGGAAGTTGGACTCATTAATAAATATGTTTCTTTAAAATTCTCAGAGTGACAAGGAACTAGTCCCAAATGGGTGAGCTCAGTGGCAGCAGACAGAGAGAGGTCTATGAAACAACCAACCAAGCAATAACACTAGCTCACTAGCATGAAACTGAAGGTGAGGGAGACTAAAGTTCCAGGGATTGCTAATGTGATTCCTGGAGCTCTGCAAGAGAGGCAGAAAGAGAAGCAAGATGTTCAGCAGTTATGGGACATGCCCAATTCACATGGCTACAGTGCACAGACAAACTAATCATATGATTGAACAGCCAGCCAATCATTTTGTCCACTTTGTGAACATGGACTCATGAAGCATGAATCTGCCTTGTTATTACCTGAGAGACTTTTGTCAGGATGTGAATTTAAGAGTCTATATTTTCTCAAATATATTATTTAAAAAGGGAGCAACAATAACAGTGAAATTTGCAGAGTGTTTGTTTGCCATATGCCAGGCACTGTTCCAAGAGCTTTACATGTATGCACATGCGCATATATGCTCCTAAATACAAAGTAGGCGTGGTGATTCCCATTCACAGAGGAGGAAACTGGAGCACTAAGAGGTAAAAGCATAGTACATAAGCCCTGGAAGCCTGGCTCCACGTCTGCACTTCTTAAGTATTTACCCAGCCTACTCCTGGCTGTGAGAAACAAACTAGATTGTATATGTGTACTTTTTAAACAACAAAGCACTGTAGCCAAAATGACCATCAATGTACTGATTATAATAATAATCTGTGTTCCATAATAAGCAATGCAGCATTACGTTCCTAAAGGGCATGTCTTAGTACTGAACAGAGATATATCATTGTAGAGGGGAGACAGGGAACTAAAACTGACCTGAAAGAATACAGGAACTCTAACAACTGACAGAAAATGATGATGTTAGTTATGTTGTTAAAAATTTGTTAGCTGCCTTTTTAGCACAAAGAAGGATCTAACTATCTTTTTTTTATTCAGGAGGATCTGAGCCCCAAATCCAACAACAGGAACAACAAAAAAGTTTGTAAAATAGGCTGTTCTGCAGATTCTTTCTTTTAGGTAAGATGTGTATTTATCTAGAAGGTTCCAGACAAATTCCTGCACAGAATCCTTTTGAAGGTTCCTTCAGGCCTTAAAGTCCTATTAATATTATGTTTTTGAGAGATCAGAAATCACATGCCTAGTCACATTCAAACTCTACCAAGAAATAAAAAGCAGTCTAGTCTCAGTGGACAATTAACCAGTGAGATGATGCACTGCTACCCAGTGCTTTGCATTTGTGATTTGCAGTTGAAGTAGAATTTCGTGGAGGGAAGGTCTGGGGCATCAGGGGTGATGCTGATTTAGAGAAGAATAATATATTACTGCTGATCAAGAACCGGAGAAAAAGCTGCAAGAGCTGAATTGGGGTCCAGCTTTGCCCTCAGCTCCCCTTGATCCACCTTAAAAAGCAAAAAGTGGACTTCATATATTAATAACAGTACTAACAACCAACATTTCTTGAGTGCCTACTATAGCCAGGAACTGTCTTAAGCAATTTACATGGATTGAGTTTATTTCTCAGAATTATACTATCAGAGAGATGTTCTTGTTATCACTGTTTTATAAATGGGAAAACTGAGATGCAGAGAAATTAAGTAACGTGCCCAATATCATAAGGTTAGTTAGTGGCAGAGTCAAAATGTGAATCTGGGGTGTCTGAATTATAGAAGCTATTCTTCAAACAGTCCACTTTCAGGTACTAGCTTTAAGGGAGGAATGACCCAAAAATCTGTTGTCAGGAACTTGACTGACTTGAGCATATGCACAGTGTCCACAAGGGAATGTGGGCCGATCTCAAAACCAGAGCCTTAGTTGGTGCTTTAACCTGCATGCTACACATGGACACTGCACCAAAGCTCTGAGAGAACGACACAGCAGTAGATCCCTCTTATCCAGCATCTGTGCTTTTGAAAGCCTGTATTCTTGCAAAAGAATCTGGAACTCAGACTTTTCACTAAATAGTGTCAGATACCTCTCAATTAAAAGGTAACAAAAGTCCAAGAAAGAAAGGCTACCAAGGCTGAGACCTGGTAACTAGAACAAGGAAAGCAGGAAAGAAGAGTGAGCTGGAAGGTGAGAAGGAAGGACAGCAGACAATCAGAGCTGGTGGGGAAAGGAAGTGAGAGAAGAGGGGTCAGCGGAGGGGGATGATTTTGGAAGTGATCCCAGGAAAGGCGGTGCAAGGACTGGCAAAATAAGAAAGCAAAAAGAAAAGAGAAAGGACAGGTATTAAGAGCCTGGAAAAGGGAATATGCAAAGTGTTTTAACAATTCAGATTTAAGATTAAATCCAAGATCAGCTAAAATTAATAATTGTGTGTGTAAGTGATCCCAGGGAGGGCTGCAAATGATGATCTTGCCCTACCTCACACTTTGCTTACACGTGGATGGTCTGATGTTCTAAAAAGCAAGTCAGGGAAGCTACTCTGACTGACTGACTGGGTGGGTGCCCTGTTTGCCCCCTTTCCCTGCCCACCCCCTCCACTTCGCGTCAACTCAGCTCCTCGGAATGGTTTACTACAGATGGGAGATAATGTGCTCCTGACGACACAGCACACGTGGAGCTGATCTTCCTCCATCTTCTCATCTTTAAATTTAAAATATGGCTTACCAACAGATTTTTTTCAAAGTAAGAATCCCTAGAAACCATAATACATTTTCAATAAAGGAAAATGTGGCCAATAGTGCAAGTCATTGGTTCAAGAACTGTTAAGTGATTTGTCAGTAAAATGAGAGAAGAATAAATTATTAGGCTGTCTCATAAATATATAGATAAGTAAATTGTGATGATGATATGCTATCAGCTTTAAAACTTCCTATTCCTACCACTGGTGAAGGAGACAAGCACCTTTAGTAAATTCTGTTTGCTTTTCCTCTCCTCTAATCACCCATCAATGAATCCACGCTTTACTGTATATTAAAATCTTATCTAAATCCCATTTAAACCAGATTTTCCCTTCATTTCTAATCATAAATCTTCCATTTCCAATCATAAATCTTCCATTTCCAATCATAAAAATTTATCAATTTATGAAAACATTTTGACAAGCCCATGAATCAGTTTTAAAAGGCAGTGTTTATCTCTAAACATTCATGTTTTAAAAAAAAAATTTAATGAGAACGCAATCCCCAGAAGCAATGAAACGGATAATTGGAAAGCAGTGATGTTTTTGGCTACAATTGTAGCTATGATTAAATACATCAGCCTCTGGCAGAATTAGAAAACTGTGATTTCTTTTCCTAAACTTCCCTAAACCAAGTTTTCCAAACCATTGTGGAAGCAAATATCATCTCAAGTCTCCTCAGCAAGAGACACCTAGGGCTTTGGGAGCCTTCCTAAGCCACTGCCTTGCCGCAATAAGAGAGGGTTTGCTGGAAAGTTGCACATCATTCATGCCCTTAAACTGAACTGGCTTTTGGCCCTGCTATGCTGCATCTGTGGTTGGGCTTGTAAGTCATTTCCCAGGGGATGAGTGTGTTCCGACCTGGACTCTGGTGACAGGGTAGCCGATGTATGAAGAGAACAGAAGGCCCAGTGAGAGAATCTGGGCCTTTCCCACAGGAGCTACCCTGTCACCTCAGCTGACGCAGCTGTGATATGTGGCTTGTGTGTGGCTTGTAGTGGTTATGAGTAGGAATGTTCAGTTTTGTATTTTCTCTTTTTTTCTTTTTTGGATGTGGGGTTTTGGAGAGTCTGGGTATTTGAAAGGGGAGCTTTTAAAATAAATTTCAGTTACTCTTTGTGCAAGAGGTTAAAAACAGGTTAATTTTCCTGTTCCTCTGGCATTTTAGATTTAAAAAAAAAAATCCAGGAAATTATCACCTGCTTTAGAAATGGAGAGGACCCAATTTATTCAGAATTTAATAACAAGTAGATTGTGCCTGGACCTTGACACTATTTTTCTTGAAGCAACTATTTAAGGAAATTAATATTTCAAATCCTGATACCTATTTTCTCACAAAAAATACAGAATGATTTACAGATCATTTAACTCTTTACTAAAGCTAGTCTTGAAAAATCTATGTTAGCCATTGTGAATAATTAATATGCTTAAGTGATCAAATAACAATTCTTTTAAAATTTTATTCAATTCAGACTATTTGCTACTAATTTCACTACCTCCTCCTCTCAGCGGCATAACACACTTACCTGGGAGACCTATAGCTCCCGGCAAACCTTTGGGACCTCTTCCTGGAGGGCCAGGTTCCCCTTTTTCTCCCAAGTCACCTGCATTACATTAAAGAAATGTTATTTTTCTACATAGCTATAAAAACAAACTTCCGTATCTTTAAACCTTAAGCAAATCTAAAATTCAGAAATCAAAAGGTCATGAAGTTGACATAAACTAGATTGTAGTGAGTATGTAGCAAGGCAAAAATCAAGTTTATCCTATTAACAGCTCTAAAGGGGGGAATTAAATTATTATATCCATAGATACTGGAATGACATTTGACAAAATTGAACATGAATTCTTGATAAAACATTCAATAAAATAAGAATGGCCACTTCCTAAATATGAAAAATATGTCTATCTCACCCCAAAAGCTAGCATAATGCTTAATGGGAAACACAAGAATTAGTTCCACTACAATCAGAACAATATAATGATGCCTGCTTTATCACTATTATATAACATTTGGTTTGAGGAATTAAAACTATCTCATTTTCAGGAGATGTAAATATATATACTTTAAAACTCTAGAAAACTCAAAAACTATTACAAACAGTATTCAGCCAACTAGCAGGGTACAAAATAAATATATGAAAATTACAATTTTATAAACATGAAAACCAGTAATAAGACATAATAAAAAAGATAACATAACAATTATTAAATAACGAGGAATGAAACTAATCAGAAATAGACAAGTCCAACATGACAAAAAGTTTAACGTTTCTAAAGGACACCAGATGACTTGAAAATCATTCTTAAATAGAATCACATCTTCATAAAATGCTGTCAGTTCTCCCCAAGCTGAATTTTCATCATGATCATAATAAAAATACAAACCCATTTTTAACCAGAAAAGACCTTGAAGTTTGTATAGAAAAACACCTAAGCCAGAGTAGGCCCCAAAAACTCCAAAAAGAAAAGCAGCATGAAGGGAATTAATTTGACCAGATATTAAACCAACTAAAATGCGTGGTGCTGGTCCCTGAATACACAGACCAGTGAAACAGAATAGAAAGCCCAAAAAACAGGCCCAAATACATACAGGATTTGGGTTTATAGTGAAGGTGGTGTGCTGAGTGTGTGGAGGATTATATTGTTTGCTGAGAATGATGCCAAGGAAAACCGAGCTGGCCTCCCAAGTGGAAAAGTGCTTGGGGCATTCTAAAGCAGTGAACAGCATATGAATATCATACGCCAGTTAAACAAGTTCTTTAAGCACAGGATATGGGACCCTGCCCCCTTGCTCCCTCGTGGAGAATGCTTTCTGTTTGTCTGTGATCAGTGGTAAGCAGGCACCAGCTGCCTGCCTACTTTATCTTTGTGTTATGAGAAAACACAGAACACCTGTTTGTTAATAATAATCACCTATTCAGAGAGAATAAACACGTGGTGGTTGAGCGTCTGCTCGAGGCTCTCAGCTATGAAGAGCTCTCAGCTCAGAAGACTATTTGCCTCCCTGATAGTACCACTTTGCACTCTCTCTCTCTCTGTTTCTTAATTCTTTCACTGCTGCCTGGGGTGAAAGAATTAAGTCACTCTCCATGACTGAGCTGGTCTCAGTTGTGTTTTAAAGTAGGAAAAGTTGAACAAGTCAGTAAATGGCACTGGAAGAAGTGGGTAGTCCACTGGAAAAGAAAAGTTAGATCTATACCTCACACCCTACTCCAGGATAAAATACAAATGGATCAAATATTTAAGTGTTAAGAACCAAAAGAAAACAAAAGAGAATTACAACCTCAGATTGGCCTTTTTATTAAGATTCAAAATATGAAAAGTTCCTAAAATCAATACAAAAAGGCCAGCAACACAACAAAATAATGACCAAAATACATGAACAGGCAGGTCACTAAAAGAATTTAAAAATTCCTCTTAAATATATGAAAAACTCTCATAACAAAATGTAAAATATTTTTTTAAAGATTTTAACCTGTCAGATTGGCAAAAATTTCAAAATTCAACTAAACATATGAGCAAGTCTGTGGAAAAATACACTATTATGAATTGCTGATAAGAGTATAAATTTGTACAATCCCATTGGAGGGTAATTTGACAATAGCTATGAAAATTTTTACCCAGCAATTCTAGGAATTTATCATAGAGATAGAGATGGAGTGTATGCTGCTATTTTATACAAAAATAAAATATGTACAATGTTGTTCACTGAGGCCTTTCTGTAATAGCAGAAGGTTGGAAACAATCTATGTCCATTAAAAGGTTAAATACGTTAAGGTACTTCCATAGAATGGAACACCATGCAGCTGTGAAGAGTAGCCAGGAAGCTCTTGGGAATGATCTCCATGGCATATTGTTCAATGAAAAAGACAAGTTCCAGAACTCTTGCTAAAGGACAATGTAATTCATTTTTAAAAGGATGTAGAAAAAATACATATTCATGTATCCTTATATATCATTGCTTGTAAGGATATGTAAGAAATGAATAGTAGTGATTACCCAGTGGGAAGGAGAAAAGAAACTAGGCAGATGGGAAACTTCACTAAATACCTTTTTCATACATTGTTAAATTTTTGAACAGCATAAATTTAGTATTATGAAATATAAATTAATCTGAAAAACATAAAGTGTATTGTCACAGTGTCTACATTTCACTACTGATTCATTGTTTACAGGGAATATATTTTGGATTGCAACCAACCATGTGTATTTGTAAGGCATTTGCAAGACAGCTGATCAAAATTGAGGATTTAGCAGCCACAAAACAAAGTTGCATTAATTATACCAGCCCCTGAAGAGATCAAACTCAGCAGCGTGGCCTCATTAACAAAATGCCTTAACGCCTTAGTTAACTGGTCCTAAATGACTTCTGCTGCTCTTTGTTAAAGACATCCCATTTTCCTGGTAGCACAGTATCATCATTATTCTACTACACTATTAAAAAATGTAATGGCATCTTGCAATAAGTTCTATACATACCATTTTTGCCCAAACATTTGCATCAGCTTAGCCTCATTCAGTATTAAGTTAAATTTGTTATAATTTTAAAAACAAAGTTGGGTATACAACAAAAACAAAAAAAAATCTGTATAACCATCTGTACTCAGATACTCAAAGGTCTGTAATTTTGAAATGAATATTTAGCCACCATACTTTGATTTTAGCTGTGAATGTCTTTATATGAATGTTTTTATGATCAACTACATTTCATCACACTTCAAAACTACATTTCAAAACAATTTAAATTTATATAAATACTATGAAGGATTGAACTCAAGTTGAACTCATTTACATAAACTAGTTTTTTTAACACTCATCATCAATATGGCCTTACTATATTAGGAAGATATGACAACGTTTTATAAACTAATGGTGTAAGCATTCTTGTTAACTTGGTAATTTTAGTATCATATCACTATAATTCTGGAGGCTAGCAATACGAACAGACTCTCTAAGTGTGCCACATTTTCTAAAGATATGGGATGAAGATTACAAGGTGTGGCTTTTACACTGATGGTAAAAGCTAAACTCGTTTACGCATTCTAGCATGAAACTACACCAACTTTTAATGTTGCTTCAAGGAATAAGACCAGTGTCTTTGTTGTGATACTGTCTTTTGGTTATCAGTCAGAGAAAAACAAGTTAAAGATGAGCTCCAAAACACAGCCTATTCTGCAAACTGCTACTCCACAGCAAACTGTGCATACGGGTTGGTTCTATTGACAAGGTTAATCTACTGCTTCAAACCCCAGTCATGTCTTATTTTGAGATGTAAAAAAAAAAAAAAAAACAGCTCAGAGAACTAAAGGTCCACCTTTGTTAGCCTCCTCAGTCCAAAAATACGCATAAAGAGCTTATAAGCGTTAGATAGGCATAAAGAAAAATACACAGCCTGAGCAGAGAAACAGCTCATTATGAACGAGAGGAAATTCCCAGTCCTCTATAGTTGCTATTTATTTCGTTTATTCACGAGCTATAATTGATGCTGTATCTCCATGTAAACAGATTATCACCAAGAAAGGTTGGTCATAATTATGAAATGTGTGTTTTCTCAAACCTTCATTTACATATTGCCGTGTCTGTTTGATTCACACTAAAATATATAAAAATATACAGGCTTACTCAAAGGGACTTAAAATTAATCCAAACTGTGAATATTTAAAACTAATATTTATGACACAAAAGACTAATGTAATACCAAGCAAAGTGAACATAAGGTCAGTCAGATATCTCTCATGTTTTGGGCCTGAGACCTAACATGTTTAATATCGTGTAAACCATGTCAGTGAAAAACAGAAAACTGGTAGATATACTGTAATCCAAGCTTTGACTATGATTTGAGACATATTTATACTAGCTCCTATCAAAAATGTTCTGTGTTCTTTGGAGTATTTTCTAGGAGAAAAACTGTGACAAAGACATAGCTTGAACTGTTAAAGCATTAAGAATAAAACTTGTTTGTTATTTCTGTAACAGTTTCTCTGGAAAAAGAATCTCAAAGTGACTACATCCTAGAGCAAGATTCATAATTCCCTTCTTTACCAGGGATGGGGGACAAAGCCAACAAGCAGTACTGAAATACATCTCACCTGTAATTGAAAATTTAAGTTTCAAAATAGTGGGGTATTTATTCTCGGGGAAATTTCAGCTGTAACCTTTTGGATATTACAAAGCTGTATGTTTTCTAACAAATACTGTTAGTGTATGTGGTGTTACAAACATTAACTTTGTTAAAACAATTTTCAGCTACCTAAAATCGTACATTTACAAAAGTATGACTGTTAATTGATTTTTAAAATGTAATTATTACTCCTCCCTACCTCCACCTCAAATTCTCAGAAGTTAAAGCGAGAGAAGATACTGCTTTAAAGGAATCTGATAATGAGAAAGGGATGGAGGAGGGTAGGGAGAAAAAAAATCCTTTGGAAAAAAGAGAATCCTATTACTTCATATTACAGATTGTCATGAATACTGAAGAAAAATTAAGAGGAAATACCTCATATGATCCAGCTATGCTTGATGAATGAACTTAGTGCAAGAGACATTTTCCAGGTTCCAAATGTAGAAATTTACTTTTCTTCCTTTCAAACTGAGGTTCATCTGCTAGAGCCAACCCAAACCAACCCAGCCACAATTCACTGTTGCTAAAGCTTCCCCAAACAATTCACCATTGTTTCCAGTGGTTCTGAACCCTGGCTGCACATTAAAATCACCTGGAGAATATTTAAAAATCCCAAAGCCCAGGCCAATCAAATTAGAATCTCTGGGAATGGGATCCACATATTGGTGGTTTTAAGCTCCTCAGGCAATTCCAATGTGCAGGCAAAGCTGACAAAGGCAGCTTTAGACTGTCCTAGCTTGGCAAGTGACATCAACATTCTCATTTTTTAAAGAAAAGTTATGTTACTAGCTCAAACAAAGTTAAGCTCTGCCCCAAGGAGACTTCCTGTTAAGCAAAGAATAGGGCTGCGATGTATATAGACCCTATAAGCCATTCCTTTTCAGTAGGAAAATGGGCGATTGCTCCACACCAGGTGTAGCAGAACCACCGGGAGGTGCTGTTAAACTAGACAGCTAGGACTCCACCCCAGAGTTTCTGATTCAGTGGGCCCAGTGTGCACCAGAGAATCTGCATTCCTAACAAGGTCCCTGGTGACACCGCTGCTCCGGGGAATGCTCTTTCAGGACCACTACCCTAAAGTGAACTCAGGAACAACCGAGTCATCATCATCCACCCACTTTAGCACAACAGATGCAACTCAGTCAACAATCTACCCAAGGCTGCAGAGTTTCTTAGAAATCATTTACGGAGTGAATTGGGACTAACCATAGAGAGAGCACCTAAGGCATGAGTTCCTGAATTAGAAGGTGAAAGCAGGATGAAGATGAACAGGTATGTGATGCTTTCAAAGAAAACTTTCAGTTCTCTTTAAGAAAAACTCTACCCTCAGTTTGCACTCTGTTTGATTTTGTCCAGCCTCCCAAAGCTTTGAAATTATGCCAGCCTTACAAGAGGCCCCAGTTGGAGCCCACTTTTTAACATGAAGCTCTGCACATGCCAAAAAAAAAAAAGTAAATTGTTCCAGTGGAAGGTCTAGCTAGCCAACTGTATCAGCAATTCATTTATAGATCCAAAAAGGCAGCTTGCTTGTCCTCTGACCATTCATACCATAATATTTATCCCTAATTGGAGCACCGCATTATTTAAAAAGAAAAAAAAATCCCTCTTGTTTCTGATGCCGTATCTTTCTGAAGTTGCCAAGAAAGCTGACAGTCACTCATCATGACATAGAAACTATTCACTTTATTTAGTCCTTTCTGTAAATTACCCAGGCACATACACCCCCAGCTGATGCTTGCTCCCTTCAACTAGCAAACTCCAAATGAGGCAACCAGTTCTTCCACTAGTCCTGCTGAGTACCTAACACACTCACAACTCCATTTTTCTGCAAAATACTGGATGCAAAGGCTTAACTTGCTTTAACTAAAAATAAAAGAAACAAACTATCTTACATACTAAAGGAGGAGTTACATTAGATTGTACTTCAGAGCTGGAAAAAATCCATCAAAACTAAACATCCAATGTCACATTTTAAAAGAAGAGGGAGGCAGCTCCAATTCATATTTTTCTTATGTCCTGCTAACAAATTTTGTTAGTATAAATAACAAACATCCATGTTAGAGAAGCTCAACAATGACTATAGGGTCTCAAAAAAAACAAAAACAAAAACAAAACAAAACAAAAAGCTGACTGATCCTTTACCAGATACCATAATCTTTGTTTTGAATCATGATTGAGGTAGAGTGTAATCGAAAAAGATCAGTACTAAAAGATGGGGGACTTTAATTCCAGTATTTGATCTACTGTTGTGGTATAGCAGTGTCAAGAGAATATTATATAACAGTTTTTGAATCTTCACCATCACTATTGTAAAAAAGAATAATACGTCGTATCTTACTGAATATTCAGAAACTGGTAAAACATAAATTCCTTGAGCTCGGATACAAATTATACATCTGAAAAAAGTGCAGTTTGTGTTCTTTGGTTCCACATGGGCAAAATGACTTACCTTTAGGTCCCCTCAAACCAAGAGCACCTGGGGGCCCTTTAAGGCCGGGAAGGCCACGAATTCCCATCTGGCCTGGGAAACCATTCTCTCCAGGAGGGCCAGGAGGACCAGGAGGGCCAGGCCTTCCAGGAAGCCCCGAGGCACCTGAGTCTGGACGCTTGAGACTAGCAGCCATCTCAGCAAAATGCTCTAAAAGAGAATTAAACAACCCAGAAGTGTCAGAAACATAAAAGTTATTCTAATGAAAAGAGAAGTATTCCAAATGCCTTTTTTTCTAAATGTTACCAGACCTTCAAAACTAGTGATAAGAAATGAATAAAGTTGGATAATTTTTTTGTGGACTTTCTGCCGGGAAGCTTCACTGGTGCTGTTTGATGCAGCTCTCCCTGGATATATTTGGTCCTGTTTTTCTGAGACAGAGTCAGGGTATGGGGATGGAGGTAGCAGGGGATGGGATTTACAAAAAAAAAACTGCAGGTTTTGGGGTGAATCGTGTTCTGGAAGGATGTCACCTGAATCCCGGCTGGGTATCTGAAAACCCAGGATGGGAAGAAAAATTAGTTTCTTAATATAGGTGGAAGCAAGTGTCCAGACAGTTTTAAAAGCCAAGGACAATGTCCAGAATTAATATTCAGATACCCCATTTGAGACCTTGCCTCACATTCTTAGTTTGAAGATGTTATATAAACTGAAATATCCCCAGGAGTAACAACTTCTTATAAATCCTGCTTCTCCGAAGTTTTTTTCATGCTTGGGGTAGACAACAAACATTAAAAGTAACTTGTTTCTTGGGAATGGTCACAGTTAGTCTTAAAAATGATTAACTGGGCTTTTTCAGGAACCGTTACATAGATTCAGAATCATCCACTAAAGCCACGGCATACAAGAAAATCTCCCCATGAAAACATTCTGAGGGAAATATTCTTGTGTAATATTTTTTAAACTTAGAGGGTAAAGGAGAATATGAAATGGAAACAAATTTCTACCCAACATTTTTAAATTGTTTAAATGTGAGTATTCTAAATTTGCCTATACAAGTAAGAGTTTGCATGGAATCATAATGTTTTAGATATGTAATGTTTAAAACTAAAATAGACTTTCAAGACAAAATCTCTACAATGAAGAGACCTATATTGCTTTTCAAACATAGAAGTGAACGTTTCACTCCCATTTGTTTCTGGAAGACTTCACAAGTCTCCTAAACAAGCTAGACTGTCTATTGAGCATACAAAAGAGCATTTCTTCATGACAAAGTTAGCTACACCAGAGTCCTGTAACTGTAGGTTTCAATGTTACAGAACTTCGCGGCTATAGGGTGTTTTTGCACATCTTCATTTTCTGTGTGTTTTTACAAATAGACCAATTCTGAAACAAATAACAATTGCCATAGCTACAGATGAATTTAGATAAGGGTTAACAAGTATGGAAATGTGTCATAATTTTGGTAAAATGCTAGTTATTGATTTTTTTTGACATATGTGTACATGAATGGAGACAATGTCCTTATGCTTCTCATGGGTGTGGAATCTCATTTACTTCTCACAAAACATAGATAAAGCCTAGGTCGGTGCTAGGTACACACTAAGTGGTAGGGTCTTAAGAAGGGGATAGACAACTGAGAATTTGTGTTCCAAAGGAAGAAAGTGTGTGTGTGTACTTTGTTATAAATTAGCTCCCTTGACCAAGGGAAAAAAAAAAAAAGAGCAGGATAACCAGAAAGGTAATATTTTACATTGAGGGTATGGGTTATAAACTACTGTGGATGCCAACGGTTGGATAAAACAGAATTGGCATTAGTATTACTGTAAATATCCTACCTTTAAGGCATACAAAAGTCACTCTTGTTTACCCTTGCATATCTATAAGGATAAAATCTTAAGAAGCAAGAACTGATGATGGAAAAGTCAATCACTGCAATTTATTTACCTTGTATGACTCTCATGCAAACCTGCTTAATGTGATGATCTGTCGGTGCTCTACCCTGGGACAGAAAAGAAAAAAAAGGCAGTTTATGCATGAAATCATAAACAAAACATTGTTAAATTGTAAACGGACAGACTGCAAGGAGGCAGGTGGCTGGATTTACAAGAGAACTTGATGAGAAGCTGATGCCTAGTCCAGCCCTCTGCTGTGGGATAGAGCCTCTAAAGGGAAACCACAGAAGCTGCCCACCACTCACCGGAGGGCCCTGGACACCAGGAAGGCCAGTGGCACCCTGTTCTCCCTGCACACCCCGGGGTCCAGGGGGTCCTCTTGGTCCTTCCACTCCAGGAAGCCCCCGACTTCCTTCAGGCCCTCGCAAGCCAGGTTCCCCAGGATTACCTGCCTGGAACAGAATTGCACACTATCAAACCAGGGCTAAGCATAAAGAAAGTGCCTGCTTCATATTCATACAAACACTTCCATGAAGTTCGGGATTTCCTGCATTCTGCATCCAAACAGATGTTCTTTCAGAGATTACAAATCCTTCACCTTGACCTTTACTGCAAGCCGAAGACACACAATGCCACACAACTTACCCATCTCTTAGAAATCTAGTTCAACTTTTAATATATCTTTCTTTTGGCTGGGCGTGGTGGCTTACACCTATAATCCCAGCACTTGTAGGAGGCCAAGCGGGTGGATCATAAAGTCAGGAGTTCAAGACCAGGCTGGCCAATATGGTAAAACTCTATCTCTACTAAAAATACAAAAATTAGCTGGGCATGGTGGCATGTGCCTGTTGTCCCAGCTACCCAGGAAGCTGAGGCAGGAGAATTCCTTGAACCCAGGAGGTGGAGGTTGCAGTGAGCCGAGACGGTGCCACTGCACTCCAGCCTGGGTAACAGAGTGAGATTCCATCTCAAATAATAATAATAATATTTCTTTGGGGAATAGTTATTCTTGCAAAATGTTTATTGGAATACTACATTTTTAAAAAACTACATACTTTACTCACTAAAAGTAACTTAGTTTTCAATAAGCTTGTTAACATTTTCTGGCTACACAAACAGCCCTGTGTTCCTACAAAATATGCTACTTTGCATATCACTAATGTAGCAAGCATAAAATAAACATATTTCCAAGAACATAAATTATCCCTTGTAACTTTTTTTTTAAGAGAATGTGAAGATGCTAGGTATATCCAAGAATTACTAAATTAAATCAATGCACTTAAAATACCACATTTAAAATATTTCACCAAAGAAAGTTAACAATTTAAGTATCAAGGAAGTTAAAAGCCTAAATATTAAAGAAGTTAAAAGTAAACCATGTGTTTCCTTAGCACAAAGGCAAATACATGTTAGATTTTTTTAGCTGAAAGCAGATCACTAAAAGCATGTAAAGGATTCATCTACAGTAAATGTTTTAAAAAGAGACCAAATTAATTCACTTTCTGTTAAACTAAAAATGTGTTAAATTCCTCTGGTAGGATTTGTGGCAGAATAGCCGCTGCTGTTCAGAATAAGAATGAGAAGATAAAAGAACAGGAGGCAGCAAGGGAATGCTAGTGTTCAAGATATGAATGTTTATAAAGCAATTTAATCCTGCTTCTTTTCATATGCATCATTTATCTAGAAAAAGCTGGCTTTTTCAAACAATCATATGCTTTAAACTGAAGAAGGTGATGAAGCAATGCTTTTACTAGATGCATGCAAATAAACCTCAGCAAATGTGCTTTTTCCAATTTCTCTTTATGCAAAAGAAATTGATATTCATCTAAGTCAACTTGCCAAAATTGCTTCTATGAAGAAATTATAGTTTAAAAGACTTCCTGAAAGACTGTCAACAGGATAAGCAAAAGGTATCCTATTTAGAAGGCTGCAGCATTGTCAGGTGCCTAGGGTGCAAAACTGTAACAATTTCTAAAAGAACCTGGAAAAGAAGACAAAATGAACTAAGAAATATACTAAATAACTGGCAGAAAACAAAGGAGACCAGCCAATGTGTATTATCCTGCTGGTAGTTACTGAATTACTGCTACAATAAGAGATGGGACCTTCCTAATGAAGAGATTAAGGGCCAATATGGCCAGGACCCTGGGTCTTTGGGAAAGAATTCCTCAACTGAGGAGTGGTATACGGAAACAGAAATCAGGTTACAGACATCTACTTCACAACTTTGTCTATGCTGAAATCAGTGAAGAAGGTGAAAGTCTTGGTGTTAGTAAGAATTTCCCCTGATTCTGGGACAGTAGATGTCAATGTCACTCATATTACATGGGCAGTGTTAGGTAAGACACAGGTGGGGAAGGAGATGAATCAAGGGCTAATTCCTAATATTATATACAAATTCGAATGCAATTAACTTATTCTGACCGCTGCATGGTTCATTAACTTTTCTTTTGTTATAGCTTGTATTCTTTCTATTGAACATTACTATTTCTAGATAACGAAGTAGGATTTCTATTACCAAAATCGAGGTTTACTCTAAATTTTTCTCAATCCTCAACCATTTCTGTTAAAGTTCTTAGGCATGAAAATGTTACTTGAAACTTGAGACATGGTGTTTAGAGACAGGTAAATTAATACAATGTAATAATATTCATCTCTGCCATTTGCAAAGAGCCCAAGGCTAGGCATTGTAACCAGGTCTGATTGGGTCCTCCTGGAGAAAGTGAAGCTGAAGATAGATCTAAATGCTTAAATAGGAGGTAGCTAGAGGAAGAGGAGACCAGAACAAGGTGTTAAAACAGCATGTAAAAAGAACTGCAAATGAATGAAGTTCTAAGTATGTAGGAGATAAGGTTCGTGGAGGAAAGAACACTTCATCAGAGGCTTTGTATACCTCACTAAGAATCTAATTTTATTCTCAAGGAGTTTTAAAAAGAAGAGGGATACACAGTAGGTTTTATCTTTTTTAAAAATCTAGATTACATTGGCTGCCATGAGGATAATATGTTGAGCAGGGACAGAGAAGAGTTGAGGAGACTCCAGAAGCAAGAAGGACTTGGAAACTGATGGAAGCTGGCAGTAGTGGCATTTGAGATTGAGGTCTGAACTTCATCTTTTTTTTTTTTTTGAGACAGAGCTTTGCTCTTGTTACCCAGGCTGGAGTGCAATGGTGCGATCTCGGCTCACCGCAGCCTCCGCCCCCCCGGTTCAGGCAATTCTCCTGCCCCAGCCTCCTGAGTAGCTGGGATTACAGGCACGCGCCACCATGCCCAGCTAATTTTTTGTATTTTTAGTAGAGACAGGGTTTCACCATGTTGACCAGGATGGTCTCGATCTCTTGACCTCGTGATCCACCCGCCTCGGCCTCCCACAGTGCTGGGATTACAGGCTTGAGCCACCGCGCCCGGCCTGAACTTCATCTTTAATTCTCATACTTTCTTATATTCCTAATTGTTTTAGATGTGAATTCCTTTCCAATTAGCAAGTCATCTCAGGTTTCCTACTAAATGATTCTATAATTCTGAATATGTCTAATCTCTAACGACACCAGTTTAGTTTCTGTAATATGAAAAAATGAACAAGATCATTTTCTAGTTGTAATAATTCTCCATTATATTTTCTTATGCATTATTCCTCTATCTTATATCCCCAACTAGAACACACCAGAGATTAAGACAATTACTGAAATATTTTTCAATGGTATTACTGCCAATGAAATTCAGTTATACTGTTGTCACCAAAAAACACATGTCAGTTCTTTAAAAATGACCCATTTGGGGAGGACATTAGGATATAACCATGTAATATTCATTGAGTCATTTACAAATATGAAAAAAAACTTCCTTTCAAGTGATTAGTTCAAAAGGTAAATCCATTTATAAAGTTATGAGGTATTTTTCTATTGGATTAAGCTATTACCTAAAGTATAAAATTAAGACATTTCCATGAAAGTAAATCCTTTAATAATTGAATTTTATGTAATGACTTCATAAAGCAGAGCATTACATATTCTACAGCTTTATTAATATTTTTAATTTTTTATACCATTACTGTTTACCATACTTACAGATCCCTTTGGGCCAGGTAATCCAATATCTCCCTAAATCAATAAAAGAAAACTATATTAGAACAATATGTTCACATTTGATAATTTCCTGAAAGCACTTTAAAAGTTATTGTGCTGCTAAAATATAAAAAACTATGAACCGATTATCTCTGGGACTGCAAAAAATATTAGACTCCAATTCTGGATTCTAATCTTAGTTCTACTACTTAACTCTTTGACCCTTTTTAAGCTGTGTAACCTCTGAGCCTTTGTCTAATTTATCTATTAAATAAAAGGATTGAATTGAAGCTTTCCAAGGTTTCATCCAGATCCCAAAGCTAGATGTTGAGAATTAAAAATGCGTAAGGCAAAAGATGCTAAGATAGCATTCTCTTATAAAACACCATAGACATTTAGACCTGATGACTTCATTTTTTATGTCAAACAGTATTTAAAAGTCATACCCAAAATGAAATTTAAATCAAATATGCGTGATTTTATGCTTTTAAAAAAACCTTAAAATTTTCCTACCACTGATGCTAGATATAAATTCAGCTCATGTTGGCATATCGGCTTACCTCCACTACAAAACAATGATTTAAAACATCACCTTACCCTATAAAATGAACACCTTTAACAGAAAATAAAATTGGAATAACCCTTTTGTGAATTTACTTAATAGTTGGGAAGCTTTGACTAGTTTAGATGTTACATTTATATTAGCTCTAAATCCTGAAAATATTAATAAAACAATATTACTAGAATTTTTTTTCCTGCCCTATAAGCCCTCTAAAACTGTTTTCTGAAAAATCTATTACCCTGCCCCAAAGGACCAAAACATAAGTTTCCACATTAGGTCACATTAGTTTGTGTCAAGACCATGATAAGTCTGCAAACCAAGCAGCTCCAGCATTGGAGAGAACTTGTTCTCATTTGTATTCCTTTCCTGGAGATTAGGCAGTGGCCTCCTCTAGAGATGAAGGTCACTTCTTTGGAGGGTTTTAGACTAAAGAGATTACCCTTGGTCAGATTCATAAGTCACAGATTTCTAACTATAATAAAACTTCAATCGTGTTTCCATGATAGAGCACTTTTATTTGTAGACTTTCTACAGTCATATAAGAATCACCTTGAATGTCTAGACATAAAGCCACAGAGGATTCACCATCTATAAGGGAACACTATTATTTTCCAAAAGTTTAAAGCCATTTCTATCAATTTGGCAGTGTTTCCTCTCTGTTTTACTTGATCTTGGCTGCAATCTTGGGAGACTAGTTAGCTGATAGGAGAAGCATCATAACCCTTAAAGAAGGCAGTGAGGATAACGGTGTCCAGAAAATAAGAATATATATATATGTATTTCTAACACAGTTCGAAATTGGTAAGACTTCATAATTAACCAGAAAAAAATCTTACAAGTTCTCCCCTTTCTCCTGCTTCACCTTCTTCACCAGAGGCACCCTAAAAATTAAAAGATTACATTTTAAAATTCTTAGTCCCATTGCCCAATTTTAACCAGTCAACATTGATAAACATTCATAAGTAAGTACCCACAGTAGTCCCAGAATCATGCAGAAATACAAAATGCTCTCAGCTGCTTTCCAATCTAGCTGTCAGTGGTTAGTCTAAATCAGAAAATAGCCTAGAGGAAAGTCAGAAGGTGAGGTTGTGTTTCAGCTAGAATGAAGGCTAAATGACTATATTCAACAATTTTATAATTAGCCCTTGAAATAGGACTTTTACAGTAGGAAAAAAAAAAAAAACCCAGGGAAAGGACTGAGTCTAATTCATATGTACAGTTTATTTGCTGAGGTCTTGATCAAGAAAAACATTCTAATGTGGCTGTGTAAGACTCCATCAGACATGAGTAAACCAATTCTGTGAACCAGAGACAAAGCTACCCTCTTCAAAGGAAAGACAGTGTGCAGTCCTGGAGGCAGAGCCCTCATTAGCTCCAGCTTGTTAAAATAGTAAACGATGCTGCGGACCAAACTCAACACCAGGTTTCACTCACTATGAATACATGGAGAAAAACTGTCAGCCTCCATGGTTTTAATCACACCCATAAACCAGCCATCCCTCCTTGCTTGTGAAATGGTGCATATCAAACATTGCATTTTATACCAATTAAATAATAGGGCTGACCTGTTCACCTTTTGGACCTGGTTCACCGACTATTCCCTGTAATAAATAAAATAGAATACTTTTTCAGTATTTCCAACTGTTCATATAATTTCAAGTGAAACTTTTTGGGTGGGTGGATAAGCCCAAATACGGATAATGTGATGGGACAGAAATTCCCCACTCCTCACCACCCAACAAGAATCAGGACCAAAGCAGAAGTTTCCATATTAGGTCACAATTTTCCAAGAGTCTCTGGTAACTTGGGGCATTCTCTGATTACATCATCATAAAATTTGACTAGTAGAAAAGTAAATTGAGGACTAAATAGAACGTGTGATTTCAATGGAAATTTTTACTTTTCTCAGCTTTTTTTTCCTTCTGTTAAGTTATATTAATAGATTTTTTGCTTCTTAATCTCAACTCCGAGTAATTTAAAATACCTTTCTTGATAGCTCTTTATGATAAATTTTAGAATATTCTCCACACAGCCCAAAGCAAGCTTTGTTTCTCAACATGGTAGCAATCACCCTTTCAAATAAAGAACTTTCTGGAGTGCTGGAGATCTTACCCTGTCACCTTTCATTCCAGGAAGTCCAGGGGGCCCAGGCAAGCCAGGGAGGCCAGGGCTACCCAGAGAGCCCTGGAAAACAAACACAAAGTCCAGGAGTTACTGTCTCTGGCTTCTGTGCTTTCAGTGTTGCAGTAACAACCTTAAGTGTGTTGACTTGTGTCTAAAATAATTGACTCTTGTGTCTAAAATAATTGACTTGTCCTGTGGCTGGTTGAACTCTGCTTCTTGGGTTTGCCCCTCTTTCATATTCTCAGGAGAAGAGAAAGGGCCAGTTCTCTCCCAGCCTCCACTCCACCCGGAGGTCCTCAGTTCGCCTTGCACTCCTTGGCAACAGTGGGCTCTTTCAGTCAAGCCCCCGCCACTCCCACTGTCTGCAGTGGGGCTGCTGCTCCTCTCGCTGTGTAAATAAGCACTACACAAGAAGTAAAAGGCACCATTCACTCTGTTTTCTGCCATTCCAAGAACAACCAGAGGCCAAATGTAGCACTTCATGTCTCTCCAGGTTTAAAAATGGATGCTAAAAACCACCAGATTAAAATATCCTCTGAGAGTATCCTATGAATAATTTGAAATTTCCCCTTTACATTTTTCACATATTCTCATAACAGGAGAAATCAAGTATAGGTAATTCAATTATAAATTGTTTTCTCCTCTTGCTTATTTTTAAAAGTGTGTTTCATAGAAGGCAAATAAATGAAACTTTTTTACTTACCAGTTTACCTGGTAGGCCTGGGGATCCCACTGGTCCCATTTCTCCTCTACTGCCCTGTAAAAACAAACATTGTCACCTGGATATTTTGCCAAAGTTCAGATGCTTGGTTACTATGTAAATAAAATAACACTACCTAGGTTTTTTCCTGAGGCTAAAGGCATAGGCCATCACACACAGTGCCTACAGCGCCCTGTGTTCATCTTGCTTTGAATGATTCAAATGCTGTTTACTGTGATTACAGACATTTAGAAATGATAGCTGATACAAATAGACGAAATGGCAATCAGTCACTTTCAACATCTAAATCATATCCTAACTTTTATGGTTATTTGTGTCTATATTTTAAGCCCTTACTTAGCTTATGTGTTCTTGAGGTATTGCTATATATTAATTTGGAATTCTGCACAGTGCCTAGGACACAGAATAAATTTTCAGGTCTACAGAATATTTCAAAGCAACATCTGGCAAATGATCTTAAACCTCAACAGAGTGAAAAAAGAAACACAGAATAGATATGTTTGCCTTTAAATTACTATTGCAGCTTCAAAAAGACACAGATGGTAAAAATTTACAAAGTTTCTGAAGTAAAAAATTTTTCTTCTACTCTTTCTAAACATGTCTTAAAAGATTAAACAGACTTCAGAAAGTAGAACTTACAACGAAGATATGAAAAAAGTAATTTTATTTTGTGAACCCACTTCAAGTTTTTATTTGAGACTCTAAGCTTTCAAATTTTTATTGGAAACTCTAAGCTTTTTAAATCTATTGAGAAAAAGAAACACGAACTTTTCAACTTTTTCCCCTGAGTACTTTGTACAATTTTATGCAATCTGACAAAAGCTCATTTTATTTCTTAATTTTTTTATTTACCTTTTTTAAAAAAGCAAATCCTACTCTTGTTGCCCAGGCTGGAGTGCAATGGCGCAATCTCAGCTCACTGCAATCTCCAACTCCCGGGTTCAAATGATTCTCTTGGCTTAGCCTCCTGAGCAGCTGGGATTACAGGTGACCACCACCACGCCTAGCTATATTTTTTTTGTATTTTTAGTAGAGACGGGGTTTCGCCATGTTGGCCAGGCTGGTCTCAAACTCCTGACCTCAGGTCATCTGCCCACCTCGGCCTCCCAAAGTTCTGGGATCACAGGCATGAGCCACCACACCTGGCCAGCTCATTTTATTTCTAACCCATGTTCAACTAAACTGAACACCGACATCATTGGATAAATCACATTTCCTGGAAGGTGTATATAAAAATGAAAGGAGTTCTTTAATTTTTCTGTAAAATGACATAACTCCATATTAATATTTAATATTTATAAATACTTCCAGTAAGATTCTTCTGTTCTGACTCATATGCTATTTATTCATATTTAAGTTTAATAAAGTGTCAATATCCATAAACCTTCTGAATTTTGAATTTCTCTAAAGGATTAAGAACTGTTTGCAAAATTATAACAATCTAGCTATTAATATAAGCAATAATTTCATGGTAGTCATGTCATAGGACTAATTGGTGTTTTAAACTAAATGCTCTTAAACATTTTTCAACAATTTTATTTAAACAATCTGTGTCTGGTATATGGCTTTGGGGGTGATGCATGGGTCCTTAACCTCATGAGCAGTTTGGAAGCCAGGGGCAGTGCCCCATGAGGGTAGATGCTGGAAGGATGTGAGTGTAGATAAAAACCAGCCCCTGTGATAGATTCCTCTATCCATCTATGAATATAAAAATTGGGTTCTGCCCCATCTTTACAACTTCAAAGTTCAAGACAGATTTTCTTCATTGTATCTACTCTGTTGGCATTTTTATTTCTCAAGGACACCATCACTGACATCCTAAATGTCTCTGGGCTCACGTGACTTTAATTCACGGAACAATTAACAGTAACTGGTGGGGGAAAGTTAGCATCAGAAGGGGAAAGCTCAGTTCTTTACACAGTCTTAAGTATTCATTTCTAAATAAATGGACCATTATGCTCTCTTATCCAAAATAAGATTATTGTACTTTTTTTCTCTTCCATAAACCAAAGGGCTAACTTAAAATAAGAGATTGTATAATCTTTTATTTATTTGGGAGAGGATTAATTATCTTACCAGTGAATAACAAAGATTTTCTCTGCTGGAGTCATATTTTCTCTGTCTCTTCTAAGTTCTTGTTACAGTTTATAAGTGCTTTCCAATCACTGGCAGATTCTTAGTAATATATGTGAATGGACAGCTCAGAGACCCATATACACAGCCTGCTCTGCTGAACTTGTGTACCCCTAAGAGTCCAGCACATGTAGCATGGAGGAAAGGATCAGTAAAATTGTGAGCATTTACTCCCCTGTTACTGCACAAATGGACAGCATGTCATTCCTCATTTTTATTTCACTTCCATCCTATAAATCCTTGGCCATTCTAAATGCAAGTAATTTTACAGAAATCACCTCACTGTGAAAAACAGCAATGTTTATTTTCCCAAGAGTGACCAAACAGTTACAAACGAGGTGTTAGGGCAAGATTTTCTGATGCCTGTTCATGTGATTTGTCTCCTAATAACATACATATTCTTTCTCTAAGTTCTGGAATTTCATCTGCTAAGCTAAGATGAGCATAAATAATCAAGATATAAATAGTTATCTCTGAAGACATAGGCTAAACACATTTCTTAGGGAGTAATTAAGCATGTGGGAGTTATTTATATCCTATTGCTCAAGGTCATCACCAAGGTCTGATTATGAATATTTTAAAAATTGCAACCTCGGGCATAAATGGGTTACCCCTGGCACTGGTAACCCAAGTGTGCTAAATAAATGCTAAAATTCTTTTTCTTCAACAGCCATGGTAATAACCATGTTCTCAGATGTGGGGAAGAGAGGGTGGTAGGAAATGGCTGTTCTTCCTAGTTGCTAATATGTATAAACCCCATGACAATAAGAGTTCCAATTTGTAATAAAAGAATCAGAAGGAACTGGAATAAAGGCAAAATACTACCATTAAAGATGATGAACTGGCTGGGTGTGGTGGTCACGTCTCTAATCCCAGCACTTTGGGAGGCTGAGGCAGGTGGATCACTTGAGATCAGGAGTTCAGGACCAGCCTGACCAACATGGTGAAACCCCATCTCTATTAAAAACACAAAAATTAGCTGGGCATCATGGCAGGCACCTGTAATCCCAGCTACTCGCGAGACTGAGACAGAAGAGTCACTTGAATCTGGGAGGTGGTGGTTGCAGTGAGCCAAGATTGTGCCACTGCACTTCAGCCTGGGCGACAGTTAGACTCCATCTCAAAAATAAAAATGCCGAACCACAACTAAAGGCAGTACATTTCTCTTGGATGCTCTGTACTGCCACATACATCCCCAACAAATTCAGACACATCTACCAACTCATCTCTTTTTAAGAAGCCAATCAGGACTGAGTGCAGGGGCTTACACCTGTAATCCCAGTACTTTGGAAGGCTGAGGTGGGCAGATCACCTGAGATCAGGATTTTGAGACCAGCCTGGCCAACATAGTCAAGCCTCGTCTCTGCAAAAATTAGCCAAGCATCATTGCAGGCATCTGTAATCCCAGCTACTGGGGAGTCTGAGGTGGGAGAATTTCTTGAAACCAGGAGGTAAATGTTGTGGTGGCCTGAGACTGCACCATTGTACTCCAGCCTGCAACAGAGTGTGACTCGGTCTCAAAAAAAAAAGAAGCTGCCAATCAGGGCTTTGAAAAAGATGCAGTCCTTCTATCAGTGATTCCCAGTGATGACTAGGCATCAGAATCCCCTAGTTCTTTAGAAATATGTTGTGCTAGATGTCCTCCCTGCCCCCTGCCCCACCCCCACCACCACCATCTCCTCATTTTCTATCTTTATATAGCCCCCTGCCCTCTGATTCTGATTCTGTAGGTCTGGGGTAAGATCCAGGAATCTGTATGGGTTCTTGTTATGTTGGTTTGTCTTTATCAGCTTTATTTAGACTTTTGTTAAATGCCCACCATCAAAGTTCCATAAATTTTAAATAATTTGCTAAATATGTCTTGTACCATCAGCATTTAGCAAGCAAACTCCAGCCGAATAAGTCACAGCCTGTGGAGCTATGACTTGAGCTACTGAGGCATGCGAGGGTGGAGATGAAAACATGGACACAGAGCCCAGTGGCCTGGTCTGAAGCTCATTTTGCCATGTGTCTCGTAACCTCAGGCAAACAACTTAACCTCTCTATGCCTGTGTCCTCGTCGACAAAGTGGGGAAAAAAATAGTGCTTATCTCATGGGGCATTTTTGAGGATTGAATAAGTTAAAAGACATATATCACTTAGAACTATGCCTGTCTCATAGTAAACATAGTAGAAGTAATAGTTATATTTATCTGAGGTAATTGCTAAAGAAATCAGTCAAAAAATTTTTAACCAAATGTTTAATTAAATGTTGTTTGCCTTTCAAATCCCCCAAGTCTCTTTAAAAGTACAAGTTGTGCTTGGGAAAAAATAAGTCTTTAGTCCTCATGTCTCCAGTTTCTGTCAACACCACTGATCATCAAGCAGGTACCTTCTTTATACACAAGTACTGGGTGCTATTTTGTAAAAAATATTTCCATAAATACATACAGCTAAATAATTCAAGTTGGAGGCTTTCCTTTTAAAATGGAACTGTTAGATTTTTAAAAGATCACAGAAAATCTAAGATTTAATTTAATTATACTTATATTGCCAAAATTATTTTATCAAAAAATGGATTATATTTCATCATGCTGTAGCTTGTAATGGCTGATGTCTTTGACCAACTACCCGAAATGCTAACTAACCCAAGAACAAACACTATCCTCAGTACCTTTCCAATTCAGAAGTTGGAAATTATAAATCGCTATATTTAGTCTGTACTATATATTAAGTGCCTCTCTTTGACAAAAAGAATGCTGATTAACCTAGGAGATCAATTATGATTTCTATAGATTGCTGCTTTTATAAACTCATTTTTTTTTTTTTTTTTTGAGACGGGGTTTCACTCATGTTACCCAAGCTGGAGTGCAATGGCGCGATCTCGGCTCACAGCAACCTCCGCCTCCTGGGTTCAGGCAATT